TTTCCAAAATTGAAAATAAAATTTTAAAGTTTTCTCATTTTATAGATATATTATTCCCGATTATTCCTGAGCCAGCACACTTTATTTATTACAATAGTAATAAATAAATAGTTTTTTATTAGAATATATACCATAAAAATATATTCCATATATATTTAATAGAAAAAGTTTTTTAAAAAAATTTAAATAAAATCTTATTTCTAGTTTGTTTTTCTAGTTTTTTGCCACAAAGTGACGTCGTATACACACAAAAATTGTAAATTCAATGATTTACGAAAAAGCCTCATCTATCATTTTTAATGGTCTAAGAAGCAGATGATTCAATCTTGTCAATCTTTTTAAATATAATAACATACATACAAAAAATCAAAACAAATCAGCTTGAGCAAAAAAGACTTGTAATTATTAGAAAATTTTACTTATATTACATACGATCCTGAATAAAACATTATATAAGTGGTTTTTCTACATTTTATAAACAATATACATAAACAAATAACATATTTGTTTATATATTCTTTATATAGGGATGGTTAAGCGCAAAACCTGTCTATACAACAAAATTTAAAAAAATAAGTTTTATATTAAAAAAACAATTTTAAAAATGTTTCTTTACAAACACCAATATATTATATTTAAAATTTTTAAGTGCACTGAACTGCAATTACTTTTAATTTTTTTGGTTTAGTGGCTTTTTTTAGGAGCTTTTAAATTTTGTGTCAAATTATTTCATTTCAACATATTTGTTGTATCATCCATACTGCAGCTGTTTTTCAAAACAGCCTAAGGTTAAAAAAATCAATTTTGACTTTTTTACAAAATAAGCTAATAGATGTCTACAAATATTATTGAGTATATATTTTCAAAGAGTTCTGAAAAAATTTATTAAAATTATTTGTTTCAAAAAACATTTTACAAAGAGTTTCTCCTAATAATTTTTTTTATTGTGTTTTCCTCAAAATATGTAATAGGCATATAAAGGTGTTTTAAAAAACGGTTGCAGCATATACTTATAGCAAAAAAAACTTCTATTTGTCAAAAGAAAGTTTTAAAGATTTTTCTACCTATGGGCTTTTTTCTTGCCTCTACAGCAGCACCTTCTGGAGTAGTAGGACTTTTTCATTAAGTTTTTTCTTTATAAAGAAAAAACTTAATGAAAAACAATTTTTTTTCAGACCATCTACAGCTTATTAGGACTAACTACCTGAGCACAATAATAACATAAGTATCTCAATCATGACATATATGTAACAAATTTTTTTTTTCTCCTGGTGTTTTGATATTTTTAGAAAAAATTTAGCTTTGTTTAAAATCTTTTTGTTTTTAAAGTGTATAATATCATTACATGTTTGTATATAAACTCTATAAAACTTCAAAAACATTTTGTATTTTAAAATAATCGAAAAAAAATTTGAAAAAAAAGTCAATAGTGGTAGGACTATGACTTTTTTGTTCAGAGGTTTGGCGCGCTACCCGCTTGGCCACGCTGGCATGTTGGTAAGCAAAAAATTTTAAAACTATTTAATGATTTCTTTAACGGAAATAAGTGCTATAGATCAAAATTAAGAAGAACTCAATGCAATGCAATGCACTCAATGCAATGCAATTTTCAAGTGAAAGTCAAACTGTAACACTTGATACATGTTTCAGTATGTTTTAACATTACTTAATTTGAAATTTATGTACTTTAGATATTTTCATACACTATCGCTTACATTTTCTTACAACAAAATGTACTGCGACGCTTTCTCGCCACTACCTCAATTGCGATGGCTGCCAAGGGTTCTGTGTCACAGCAATAATATATAGAGATTAGTAAAAAAAAAAAATTATTTTATTTTCAAATACAGATATTTAGAGAGATTTTTTTCATGAACCAATTGATGATTTTATAAACAACACTTTAGCAGAAGGAGGGGGGGATCTAAACTTCTATATTATTTGTTTAACCAATTTTTTTTAATTAATTTTTTTAAAAAAGTTCAATGAACAACTCAGTTTTTGCTATTTTTTGTGATTGACCTTCTACTTTAGTTTTTAACATTTTTTCATTTTTAACATTTTAAATTCTTTGTGTGTAAAGCTACGCAACTTTGTGTTAAAACTTATGCAATATGAATTTTGATTGGATAACTTTAAATTAAAACGAATGAAAATTGAGTTTAAACAAAAATAAGTCTTATCTAGAGTAAAAATTTGTTTTGATTTACTTCGTTTGAAAATACTTTGCTATTAATTTTGTAAACTAAATTTAGATACAGATTAAAATAAAAAATATTGCAACAAGAAGTAACAAAATAATAAATAAATAAATCATAAACTAGAAAATAAATAAATCAAAATTATTAAATTTATTTTGAAATCTCCCAGTAATTGACGTATTTTATGACACAAAGTTGCTTTTATTTGATTTACTTCTCAACATCAGAGAGAACTCTAAAATTAAAAGAAACAAAACCCAGCAATTGTTTTGGTGATCGGGTGGTATCCCACTATGGTCCTAGACTTAGGAATATTCTTCCAAGTATCATTCAAGATGAAAAAAACACAACTATTTATAAGAAAAAACAAAAATCATATTTAATGGTGAATAGCAAATTATTCCACCAGAAAACTATAGAATATTAAAAATTATAAAGTTATATAATAATTAATTGCAAGCTTACCCTTTATTTGGGCAAAACACAGTAGCTGTGGGTAAACCAATGCATTTATTTACTCAGGGTTGTTCTTAATTCTAATTTTAAGTCAACAATAAATTATCTTTTCAAAATTTTTATTAAATAAGACTTTTTATTAAATTGACTGCTCAGTAGTTGCAGAAGCAGTTTGTATATATGCATCAAAAACTTGGATGATTGTATCATCTTTGCAATTAGTTTAGCAAAACTTGTATTATATTTTTAATCAGGTTTTTGCAATTTATAAAACAATTACAAATAACATTGAACTTAAGTGTAAGTGAAACACTCATTGCAATCAGCTTCGGAAATGTCGTCAATTACAAAATTTACTTGTGGTAATATACTTAAATATCCAAACCATTGTGATATCAAGATTTAGATAATTTTGAAATTTTTTGGGAAATGTGTCTCATCGCTAAAAAATTTATAAACATAAAATATAGATCCAACTGTATTTTATGTTTATATACTTAAATATCCAAACCAGACAGAGACAAATAAGAGACAGAGCAGGTTAGCAAAAAAGAACTGTAAGCTTTACATTAGGCCTCCAAGAGATATTATGTCTTAGCTTGTTTTAATTAAAAGGCAGCATATCCACTTACTGCCAAAAATGATTGATGAATGGGATGTTTGTTTTAGCAAAAATAAAAAAATAGTAGATCATTGCAGCAAAGATCCACTTTATTTAAAATTGTTGATAAAAATAAATGTCTTATGTCTACAGAAGAATAAGTTAATAATTTAAAGTTTCTACTTAACTTGGAAAGTCTGCACAACAATCCACAATCGCCTATGATGATTTTTTTTTTAGCTGTTAAGCTGCTCCAAGAAAAATTAAGTGTCTTATCACAAAGTACTGTGGAGTTTAACTCGGAAGTTTACAATTCCTTTCTTACCGATGTTGGTCTGGTCAAAGCCAACATCGAACCTCAGACCTCTTGATTCTGAGAAAGAAATCAAATCACTGTACCACGGTTCCAAATGTTATTTTGCATTTTCACTAGTAAAATTTTCACTGTTACAAATTGTTTCTTATATGAAGTAATTTTATGTATAATACCTAATTTTTTGATGCATTTATAACTACACATAATGATTATGAATTTTATTGATAAAATAAAAAGAATAATATTTACCACAGATTCAACTTGAATAATAATAATAATGATTTCATTTAATTCAAAAATTGATTGTTTGTTAAAATAATCACTATTATTAAAATTGAAGTAGAAGGCCAAGTATTTATAATGAAAAAAAGTATTAAGTAATTCAAAATTAGCGTAAAAAATTAAGAAAAAGTGGTTAAACTACACTACATCCCAAAAACATTAATTTTATAACCCCTTATCTTTAGTTTGAAAATAAATTCTTTTCGAAAAATATTTGTAATTGCTAATTTTTCATAACTAAATTCTTTCACTTAAACCTTAAGTTGGCAATTTAATAAATTTTTTTCAAAAACCTTAATTGAACAATGCTGCAAATGACAGTTTTTTTTCTATATTTTTTAATATACATTTGCATACAATTTTAGAATAAGAAAAACAAGTCATTTCAAAACATTCAATATTTTTATTCATGTGTCAAAATACACAATGGTTTAATGCTATTTAACTGATATTGTGCATTTGGCCATACAGAGTATCACCAATACATTAAAAATTTTGCATTAATTTTATTTTCAAATATCTATTGTAATGTGATTTTTTTTAGATTTTCTTTCATATAAATAGTTAGAATATAAATTTTTTTGAACATGTTTTGCACTCATAATAGCTGACTTAGTTGCAATTCAATATTGCCTATTACAAATTTTATTCATATGATTTGTAAGTCATGGTTGATAGAAAATACTGGCATCATATCTGTCTTGAACAGTTTGATAAACACACAATATTTTATGACTTTATTTTTGTTTGTTTTTTTCATTAACACTACTTTTAATTTGTATAGTACAAAATAGTATCACACTTTAATTTAAAACTGCATATTTCTAAATATTTTATTATGACAACAATCATCTTTCAATGATTGTCATTGTAATCAATTCATATAAAGAAAAATAGTACTTTTCTTGTTGTTAACAATATTAATATAAAATGTAATAATTTAATGGTCAAAAGTTCAATCAAACAATAAACTTTCAGACTAAGCTTTCTTAACATCAGATTTGATATAAGCAAAATTCTACTTTCTTTAGGGCCAAGTAGAAAAAGAAAACTTAAAGAGCGATTTTTGATTAAAAAAAGAAAATGTTCAAAAAAATAATTTTTGCTCCTAAACAATTACAAATCCTTTAATAATAATCCATACCTTTATTTCAACTAAGTCACCCTCTCTAAATTCATAAGGGGCAACCCCTGGTACATAAAACGCAGACACATCAGTCAATGCTAAAAGAAATACTATCTTTTGTAACATACTAGAAACTTAGAAACATATATCCATGAAATATTAACAAAATTAAGTTGAAGGTCTTTCCAATAGTAGATAACTTTTAACTTTACACCTAAGATATAATTAAACATATTTTTTATTAAATATTTTTGAATAAATTGTATTTAAAAAATATGCAAAAAAATAAACAAATTTAATAGTATGAGTAGTGAACTAGTACTAACAGTATCTGTATAATATGTATCAGAAATACTGTTCATTTATTAATTTATTAATTATTATTTTTGTTGTTGTTGCTGCTGTTGTTTTATTATTATTATTATTATTATTATTATTATTATTATTATTATTATTGTTATTATTATTATTATTATTATTATTATTAATAATAATTATTATTAATTTTAATACTTTTAAGATGGAGAAAATTTCATTAAGGCTGATTCTAAAAAATTATATGTACATTTAAGTAAAAAAACTTGATTAAAATAAAAACAAAAACTTATTTATGTAATATATCTACTCGATTGTATAAACTAGACATCTTTATCATAAAAAAGTTTAATTTAGCTTATACTTGAGATAAAATCTGTGTTTATTACTTTTCCGTAAGCATATTCTGCTTTGATTAACTGAGCTTTGGTTTCCGGTCCTTCTACCGTTGCTCGAGTACTAATACCGGTGTTTTTTTTGTTTTTTTCAGAGAAAAGAAAGTAATATATTTTGTTTTAATAATATTTATAGTTGATTTGTTTCATTTGAACCAGGTATAAATGTTATTAAGCTCGTCATTCATAACGGAAAAAAGTTTATAAGTATCATCATTAGAAAGAAATAGGTTGCTGTCGTCCGCAAACATAATACTAAGTAAATTTGAGCCTTTATTTAAGTCATTAAAATATAAATCAAGAAAAGAAGTGACCCTAATATAGAGTCTTGCGGAACACCTCAGGATATATCTATTAAATCATTTTAATAAACATTATTACAGGAAACATATGTATTTGTTTTTTTTTGTTTTTAGTTTTTTTTGTTTGTTTGCTTATTTTTTTATTTTTAGTTCGCTTCCTTTTTATATAGTTTAGCTCAAGCTATGCAGAATCTCTTTTTTTCTCATGGTTAGTTCTGGTTTGTTTTACAACTAAAGTTAATATTTTCAAAGACTTTGAGGGATTTGGGAAAGAACGCTTTCACAACCCTTCAAAAAATTAAAAAAAAAAAGCTTTCTTCAATTAACTAATTTTTTTTTTTTCTTTTTTTTTAAGCACATGAACTTTAACTGTAAACTAAAACACGGTTTTTGCTCAAAACTTAAGCTTTTTATGTTTTTAGGACATCGACTTTTTTAGTTTTTTTTTGCCAATAACTTTTTTCTAATAATTTAGTAATTAAAAGTCTTCGTAAACAACTTCTCAAAAGTGAGATCATTTTTTTAAAAAAATTATTAATTGTAAATGAAGTTTTCTGTAATTAACAAAGATTGTATAATAATATACTATGTAGTTGATGTATATGCATATAATCCAGTGATTGATTGAGGTTTAGCATTTTGGGGGAGGGGGCCAGAGGAATGAGTAGGGGGCCAAATGAAAGAACGTACCTAAAAAAAACGATCCTTCATCTATAATATAGGGAAATTTTGATAAATAAGTGCGCCAATTAGGGTTGCTATCCCAGGCGGCGTAACGACTCTCGGCGGCCCTGCCTCTAAGACGCTAAAAACTTAAATTTTAAGTTTGCTAAGTATACATCGATTATCATTTGAAAAAAAGTAACATTTAATATAAAAGCAGTGGTTTAATTATTTAAAAACATATTTACACTATATATATTACTGAAAGTAAGCATTGAAAAAGAAATTTACTTTCCTGATAGTTTATACAATTTTTTTTTCTGCTAGTTTTCTATTCCAGCGGGTACACAACGTTTGTTAGACGTCTTAAGAACATAAAACGGGCTTGTGACGACTATAAGGCTTGTATAGACGTCTTTGGGATGCCTGTGCCCGCTAGACTGAAGCAAAATGGTTTGTTGATAATTCAATCCTCTCAGAAAGTTCGATTAAAATTAATGTCAAACCAAAAAAAACATTGTTTTTTCATTGTTAATCACAAATAATTTTTAATAATCTTTAGTCTACTGAAACTTCACTCATCGTAAACAGATGTAAAAGAATGAGTCAAGTCAATTTTGTAGAGTATAGACAAGTTAAGAAACCACGATGTCATTTATTTCTATATTAAGAATAGATTTATGTACTTCATTTTTAGTTGAGTCGTCATTGCAGGAGATATTGATGCATACACATCTTTGAATGTAGCGAGTAGGTTTCAAGTGGGGAGGAAGTGCCATACTGGTTTTTGTCGAAAACATTTTTAACACATAAAAACAAACCTAAATTTTTCCACAATGTTGAAATCAGTTAATTTATAGTTTTTTGTTTTTCTCCTTTAAAAAAAAGTCTTTGTAGTTTAATGAATATCTGTTACTGTGCAGTCACAGTAATTTTGATACACCTAACTACTTCAAAAATGTTGTTGACTGTGTACATTATGACAAAATGAGATTTTTTTAAACAAAATGTCTCCGTTTTGTTTTCTGCCATAAATGCAGGCAAATTTGTAGAGCAGTTATTTAAACATTGTTAAAATAAATGAATAAACGCAGAATTTTAAACGCATTCCACGCTATATGCTAAATCCGCCACTGATATACTTACGATAATAGTCATTATACTATCTAATCTATCAACTATCTAATTAGTTGTTATTAACAAACGTAGCCATTATATTATTAACTATCTAATTAGTTATTATTAACAAACGTAGTCATTATACTATTATTTATCAATTAAAGTTAGTTTAAAATTTTACGCACTTATAATTGTGTGTAGTTGTGAATATGACTGAAACACTGTTGTTACACCATTAACTGTTTTTAAACGGTGTGTGAAAACATTTACAATTATTTATTTTGCAAAAAAATAAATTTTAAACATTTTAAAGATTTTAAGTTGTTTTAACCTGATTATAAAAATCAGGTTTTGTGATCAGGTTGTACTTTGTCAATACTTTTGAGTCATGTCGTTTTGGCAAAGTACAATTGTACGTTGGAAGTAAAAATTTCATGATCCTAAAGATTTTCACAAATGAATAAAAATTTCGTATAAATTTTTTTTAGTAGAAGTTAAAATTTATTATTAGTAAAAAACATAGTAGTAAATTTCATTCTACACCAGAATTTATATAGGTACAAAAATCTTTAAAATAATATTTGAAGATTTTATTAGAATATTATTTGGCTTGACTAAAGCGCGTTTTTCATTTTCAATCACGTTACAAAAAGTTTTATTATTTAAAAACAAGTTTTTTATTTTGGAAAAGTTACGACATCAAAATAAATTAATTTATTTCTTAATGAATGATAAAGGATGTTGTATTTTTCAATTATTTTTACAATATCTAGTAATTAAAGTTAAGAATTCAATGTTATGGTCGTAAAATAAAAGTTACAAAATATCAAATTTTGATCTTAAACTAACAATTTTATAATTTATTATAAACTTGCTTTAAAAAAAATGTTTTTTTCGCTAAAGGCATAGAAATAAATTTTCCAATTTTTAAAACTATATTTTTTAATTTATTTTATTCATTTTTAATCGCATTTATTCGATAAACAACCACTCCAACAAAATGATTATTTTAATTAAAAAAAAAAATGTCAAATATTTAACGTTTGTTCCTAATTAATATTGCTCGTTAACTTAAAAATAAACGTGAAATTATTTTTTATTACATTTGTCGGCGGGAGGCAAATAATTCCGCCTTCAATTTGGCGGCCGCAGCCAGATGTGAGGCAGAACCCACTCGAGGCGGCCTCCAAATCATTTTGTTTCTAAAATTTTATTTGGAGGCCGCTGCCAATTGGTTCCTTTTTCCTATTGGCGTCGGCTTCCAAAAAAACTCTGCATGTGACCGCTAATAGAAAAGTACATGCCACTGGAGGCAGAAGAAAGAACCTTTTGCCGTTAAAAAATTATTAAAAGGCAGCCGCTAACTGCTGCGGAAGAAAAGTGGAGACGAGAAGTGTTGATACAGTGTTTAATAATCGCCGTTTATTAAACACTGTATCAACATAAATGAGGGCATGTTCGGTAACTACTGCCATTTTCACTTACCAAGTCTCTAGTTACCAAGTCTAGTTACCAAGTCTAGTTACCAAGTCTCCGAAATTACTGCAACACTCAGATTTGTGGCAAATGTTAAGGGAGATACAAATTTTTTTTTTGCCGTAAAAAAAGTCTCAGGCCAAAAGACTTTTTTCCTATATTACAACAATTATCTCTGTAATAGATGGCGTGTAATAAATAATAGTAGTGCTAGGTTCTATCTAATTCGCATTACTCAGCCAGAAAATTATTTCCGAAGGAAATTTTTGATTTTGAAATTTTTGTTTATTTTTTGTACTTAATGATTTTTAGGCGTACTGTTTTATTTTGTGTTTGTTCTTCGATAATTTAGTAAAATGTCTACCAATGGTGTTTCTATGTTAAACCACAACCATGTCGGTAGGGAACCTGAAGCATGTAAACTGTTCATAGGTCAAGTTCCTCGAAATTGGACGGAGAAAGAACTTCGCCCAATACTAGAGCCATATGGTGAAATTCATGAATTATCAATATTATACGACAAATACACAGGACAACATAAAGGTATAAGTAATTCGAAAAAAGACTTGTTCTAAAGGACAATTTGAGTAACTTAAAATGTTAACCCAAATTATTTTTTCAAAAAAACTTTTTACTTTTAACTCAAAACTTTTAAAAATGTTTTACGAATTAAAAGTTTTTTGATTGCAGAAGTAAAAAAGGTTGTTTTAATATTTTAATTTTATTAATAATACGCTAAACTGACAATGAATCTTAAGCCTTATGGTTATCAAATGTAAACACTGTAATGGGTCATACTACTGATAAGTATGTGGACTGATTTTTTTCAATTGATCAAATACTAAAATATTAGATATTAGAAAACTTTCAAATTCAGTATTTTAAAGGTGATAAAGTTATGAAAATGTAACAATTCAACAAAAAGTGAAATAATAAAAATTTCATTAATAAAATTTGCTAATAAAATGATATTTTTATTAGCAAGTTTTTAATAATGAATTTGTTGATAAAACTGTGGTCAAAATAAAATTTTCTTTTCACATAAATTATTATAAATTTGTCAATTCTTATCTAAATGTCAATAATCTTTACATCAAAAGATAGATGTAATAATTTATTTAGTCTCAGGATATAGGAAAAATGTATTTAGTCTCAAGATATAGGAATTAAGATAAAAGGAGAATTTGCCGAATCTTTGCATTAAGTATATGCAAATTATTTACAAAAAAGACTTTTTAAAGATAAATTTGGTAATTTTTATGCACAATAGTTGTTATAATTTGCTTCCAGACCACCATCAAGTATAAGGCATATATCTTGGAGTTAGGGTGTATATGGTGGTGATGGTATAACACAGCCTAGAAATAAAAACTTTCATTAATATAAATAATTTAATCTTTTTAAAGTAATATAAGAAAAAATTACACTTCACTATACAACATATATGAAAAAAATTATAAATCTGCAACGTCTTGTTTTTCAATGAAATTTGACAGGTTAAAAGAAAATTAGTTTTAGAAACTTAACAAATAGTTTTTTTTTGTAAAAAAAACAACAACAACTTATTTGACAACATCTTACCATGAGAACATTAACAAAATTTTCATGAGTAATAAAATCAATAAGTTAAGTAACCATATATAAAATCACATAAAAATTTTCAAAAGAATCTTATTTTATATGTTTCTAAAAAGAAGCACAACAAAAGCATATTTGTTTGATCCTTCTAAAAGAGAAAGTTCACAAAATGCAAAATGTATCTTCAGTTTTTTAGAATATTTATCAGCTCTAGATCTCGCTATTTCGACATAGTACTGTCATTCATAACCTTTTTTTAAAAAACTGATTAAGAATTGTATGTGTTTTTCTAAATTTCTGGTTGTAAATGTTAATTTTTAAAATTTCTGGTTGTTAATGTACTCCAAAAACAGGCTTGGTCGGGAAGCGGGAGCGATCGCTCTCGAATACTGACCACGGAAATTATATTTAGTTGCGTAAAACTGGCCAGGTTTTTTAGTCGTTTTGAGAACATTTAAGTTTATGTACGAAACAAAGAATTTTTGTTTTACGGACATACATGGAAACATAACAAACTTGAATGTTCTCAAAACATCTTGTGCGAAAGAATAAAAAGAATTAACAAATAAACTAATACTATTGGTTCAAAAAATACGCTGATCAAGCAAAATAAAGTTCTAGAGTATTCTGTTAAAATGTTTTAGAAATTGTATTATTCACGATTTGTTACCTTTTGAGATTTGTAGAATTGTTTTAAGAATATATATTATTTGTTTACAAAAATAAATGTTTTAAATATATATTGATTAAATTGTTAAAATTTTAAAAGTTTATTATAAATCATAGATTTTATTAGTATATTCTTATTTTTTATTTTAAAAGAGATTGTATTCTTTATGTAAATGTAATTTTGTGTATTTGTTTTTTATCGTAATGTATCTTTTAAAGCAATTTTTATGATTTAAACAAAGACTTACAAAAATAATTGCGTTTTTAATGAAGTTATAATCGTTAAAGTTAATAAAACTAATTATGTAACAAACATATAAGAAGTTTCTGGTTACTAAACACAAACAACGCATACAAAGTAACTCGCGGATGAACAAGCATCGCGCCTGAGGTCACGACAGAACACAAATATAGCAAATAATTAGATATAAAGAAAAGTTTCTAGATATTGGTTTACTTACTCTAATTATTTTCGCTTAAGTTGCCATTCTTAAAACTCGTTATACTTTATTCTGCTTTAAATACTAATTAAAATTAAAAAGCCCACTCACTAAACATTAGCGATATTGTGAAGCAGTTTTGCTTCCTCGTCATTAAGTATTTTTAACCTTTTTAGTTGATTTCTATCTTGATTATTTAATTTCTATAGTAATTCAGTGATTTAATTATTTCATTTGTTTATCTTACTAAGAAGAATCGCTTCAAATATGTTAAACTTTTCAAACTACGCAAAACATAAAATAGGTATTAAAAAAATTAACTTTTTTATTTATAAAATAATTTAGCTTAAGTAAAACTATAACTTGCAAGCTTAGTTAAATAAAAAATATTTATTTCCCTTTTAAACAATTGTAAGTTGTTACTTTATATAAAAAACATCGCTTATTTTTATTTAATTTGTAATTTATCGGTCGAATTAATTTTCGTCGCTTTTTTTTTTTGCTTATTAAAATGTTCTCAAAACGACTAGCAATCTGGCCAGCTTTTCGCAACTAAATATTATTTATGTGGTCAGCAATCGAGAGCGATCGCTCCCGCTTCCTGACCAAGCCTGCAAAAAGGCCTAATAGTTAGCACCTTGTAAGAGCATTTTGAATGACGATTTTGTAAAAAAGTTTGAATGGCAATTACATTTGATATTAGCACTACATACAAATGTATTAAGTTAAGAAAAGACAAAGAAATTTTTATTTTTATTGACCTAACTTTTCCGTGTAAAATATTCGGCAAAAGAAAAAAAAAGATGTTATAATGGAGGGGTAAAAAAAGAAATCATCAAAAAAATTTAAATAAAAAAACTTTTAGCACAAGATTATTAATTTAAACAATTTCTCATAACAAACAAAAATAATTACTGAATTTAAAATTAAAAAATATATAATAGCTAAAAATAGTATAGGTTAAATTTTAATTTAAATTGGCTCCAATTTTGATATTTTAATTTTTTTTGTTTGTTTTTTTATGAATAATTTTGTTAAAAAAAAATTTAAAAACAATTATTACAAACTTTAAATGACATCTCATAAAGAGTTTATTTTTTTATAATTAAATAAAAATCTTCTATGGATATAACTCTATTATTAATTTTTCAAAATTATACTTCAAAGGAGTTTAGATACCTTTGTTATTAAGGATAAATATACTTGATATTGTTATCAAGTATAAATATATTTAATAGCGAGGGTATTTAATAATAATCTAAACTCCCTAGATATATTGTATTGAAAAATAATAACAGATTTAAATTTATAGAATAAGTTTTTCATTTAATTAATTATTACAAGTTATTTACACTTAAAGCAATATAATTCTAGCAAAGTCTTTGTTTATATTTACATTTAAAAAAAATTATTTTCAGTGTTTTAAATTAATTAATAATACATTATAGTATTCATTATTTTTATATAAACATATTTTTAAATTTTTCTTTTTTATAAAATGTACTGAATATAGTAAATTTTTTATAAAATAAAAGATTTTGAAAATTCGCTTATTAGCGAATTTTCAAAATCTTTTATTTTATTAAAAATAAATAACAAGCCCGGTTTTATCATTAATGTGTTGAACATATTTCCTTCTCAAACATGTAAATATTTATCTTACAATAATTAAATTACTATGTATATATATAATAATAAATAAATAGTACTATATATATAGTCTGCTAAATTAAAAAAAATGCTATTGACTATTTATGACACTTTTTGTGCTTTTTTAAGTCTTTTTTTTTTTGCGTCTTTTAATACAATAAAGGTTTTTGTGAGTAAATTAGTGAAATTTGCAGTATTCCTAACTCAAATAGACCATTGCATTATATTTTGTTTTCAGCATATATATATAGATAGATAGATAGCAGGGCGCGACAAATCGACGAACGTGCAAACGTTTGTTTAAAAAAAGACAGAAAAACGAAGGTCACGTTTCCTTACTTTTACTTAAGCAAATGTTGGCGTTTGCTTAAATTTTTAAAAAACGAACGCATATCTTCAGCAATTTTTTATTTCCAAATAATTATGCGATTGATAGTTTTTTATTTATTATATTAAAAAACATTATATAGAAAAATGTTACTAAATTTTAAACCGCAGTTTCAATGACATTAAAAGTAACCTTATCATCGCACCACCTACTACTACCCTAAAGCTGACTGGGATTCCTTTCGTGATTTTCTTCGTGATGGTCCTTGGGCTGATGTTTTTTCTCTCTCAGCTAACAAATGCGCCTCCTACGTAAACTCCTGGATTCAGGCTGGAATGGAAGCTTTTATTCCTTCTTGTCGGTTTCAAGTCAAGCCTCATTCTACTCCATGGTTTTCTCCTTCTTGTGCGGCTGCTATATCCAATCGTAATCATTTTTTTCATCTTTTTCAAAAGAACAACTCTCTTGAGAACAAACGGCTATTTATTATTGCAAGAAATCGATGTAAAAAGGTGCTTTCTTATGCTAAACTCCATTATTCTCAGTTCACTAAATCTCGAATCTTATCGCAGAAGTTAGGCTCTAAAGACTTTTGGAAAATCTTCAACAGCATTGTTAACAAGGGTAGATCTAACATTACATCTCTCATTCATGGGACTGATCTTATTACCTCTCCCAAGGATAAGGCAGAACTATTTGCAAAGAACTTTTCTTCTAATTCCACTTTTGAATCTTATGGACATTCTCTTCCTTCCATTCCAGTCAAACAGGTTGACCCATTGTTAGACATTCAAATCACTCCGGCTTCTGTTGCTAAAGTCATATCTCAATTAAACTCGTCTACAGCTTGTGTTCCAGACAACATTCCTGTCACAGTC